GGCAATAGTCCTCAGGTATTGGTAGTCCCTTTCCATGAAGAAGGTTGAACTAGAGGTCCCTTTCTGCCAACACTTCAGTGATTCAATATGCATATACACATGGAAAGACTTATGCAGTCTCCTGCACAGGGGAATAACGCCATCACAAGACCCAGTGTGACTTGACACATTGCAGAATCAGCATCACGGTCTCTGAGTTGATTTGTGCAATGGTCCACACAGCTGCACAAAGCTATTGGCACAGAAAACAGAGAGAGCAGCCTGTCAGGGTATCACTGCTCTCACTGAGGTGCAAATAGATGGTGTGCTTTCCAAGGAGAACTCCAAAGGCCAAGGTATGCTCCTGGAATAGATGAGCCCTAGAATGTTCTGATATGGTAGGGGGAATGAATGTGGGATGTGTTCCCATGTTCCCCATGTGTTTCTATTTCCCGTATTCCTCTCTCTACCATATAGCTACTGTTCCCCTGCCAGGTTAAAGACATCAGCCCTTTGGAGCTCGCTGGTATGACTTGTAAAAGTGACCCCAGGTCTGTGCCCCAGCAAGAGATGCAGCCAGTCAGAAAATAAACACAAAGTCCCCAACAATTTTTCCAGGAAAATTCCTTTCCAGCCTATGGTGACAGGAATTGCAAACTGGAATTTCTGTAGATTAGACCTGGGATCCCCAGGGGTTTCTGTAAAGCAAGCAGATATTTCCTTCTTGGTCTCTTGTACGTGCTCTTACAATAATCAGAGAAAGAATTTTCTAATGGTGCTGAGCCAAAAACCAAATTTGTCCTTTCTGTACTCCCCTTAAATATTCACCATGTTTCTTCCTTTGTCACCTTTTAGGGTTAGCCAAGAAGAAGTCAGAAAGTGGGCAGACTCTTTGGAAAACTTGATCCATCATGACAGTAAGTAAAGGGGGCCCTTCTGCTGGAGATGGTGAGGGTGCTGCCCATAACGTGTCTCTGCTGAGCAGTCCCTAGAGGGGACATGGAAGTTATTCTATGGCTCTTAGCAGCACACTGTAGCAACTTTGCCCACACAGGCCTCTGGGAGGGGTGGTGAAGGGTGCTCTTGGTCAGATCCAAGGGACAATCCCAGTGTATCATGAGTGAGGCTTTGACCTACTGCTGAGCTCTCCCTTTTGTGAAGGCAACTGGTTTAGCCCTCGTGCAAGGGGAAAGCAAGACTGCAGCACATGGTTAACAGTGGGTTAAAGAAGAACCAAAAAGTGGAAAAACTGTTTGCCGCTGTGAGCCCATGGGAGACTTTGTCTTCCCATTGTTTCCAGGCTGTACTGTTGTCCTTGATATTTCCTTCATGTTGTTCCCATGGCCTGAGACTCTGTGGTGTGTGTTGGCTGTCTCCTCGGGGCCGCCTGGGAACGTGCGAGTTGCTTGTGTTCTCCTGGCTGAGCCGCTGAAGGTCACAGTGGGGAGCAGGCAGCTGCAGACCCATGTGTGACATCCCCGTGAGGCCTGTCTGAATTCCAGCCTCCCTCAGCGTGCACGAGCGACTGTCATGGAGGCAGACAGCCGTCCCTGCTGCCAGCCCCAGGGGAGCTGCTCATTCAGCTCTGGGAAGGAGAACCCAGAACTGCTGTTTGCTGAGGCACTGGAGTTCATGACTATCCAGGAACCAACACTGGTTCTGTCATCTGATCTGGTTTTCTTCTAAACAATCTGTAGGAGGACTGGCTGCTTTCCGTGCTTTTCTCAAATCCGAGTACAGTGAGGAAAACATCGAGTTCTGGGTCAGTTGTGAGGACTACAAGAAAACCAAGTCACCAGCCAAGCTCAGCCTCAAGGCTAGAAAGATCTATGATGAATTCATCTCAGTGCAGGCAACAAAAGAGGTACGTGCACAGAACATTTCTTGAGCAAAGGTATCACCCTAAGTTCTGAACCAGGCCAGCACCACAGGAAAGTAGAGATCAGTAGTTTCACAAGAGTTGCAGAGTGCTGCTGCTCTGCTAGATAGCAAGGAAATGGTGTCATTTTTATTGTTTTCATATTAAACTTGGATAGAGAGGAAGTGTGTTTAGTTACAACCACGTGGCCATCCCACGTGCACACTCAAACGGGAGAAGCCTAAGAGGACTATGAATCCCATTGTCCCAGCTGCTCCTGTGCAGCTGCTCAGCTTTCCTGGCTGGCTGCATCCCTGAGGGATGTGTGTCAGTCTCCCCTGACAGTTTGTCTGGCAGGAGAGATGCACTGGTATCCAGCTGCACAGATTCTGCCAAGGCTACTGGGTGTCCAGTGGCCATTTCAGACCACTGCCCATTAAAGACAGCTTAAGCACGCTTGGTGAAGAGACACTTGGATTTTCCCTTGCCTATGCTAGCCAATTCTGGGACAGATTCTACTTACACCGTCCCTTTGGCCCACAGGTGAACCTGGATTCATGCACACGGGAGAAGACGAGCCACAACGTGCTGGAACCTACGCTGTCTTGCTTTGATGAGGCTCAGAGAAAAATATTCACCCTCATGGAAAAGGATTCTTACCGCCGTTTCCTCAAGTCCCCCTACTACCTGGACTTGGTCAGCCCACCTGGGCCCGAAACCTGCAAAAGAAGCCACAGTCACACCTTAGACTGCAACTCTAACATCATCTCTCAGTGTGCCTGAACCTGCAGCAAGGCAGGAGCGGGCTGGGCTCTCACAAGAATAGATGGCAGCAAAAGCATTCATTGGCATGAAGCAGCAGAGCTGTCTCCAATAGCTGTCTAATGTCCCCGTTGTATCCCATGTCATGCAACAGCCAGCATTTGTAACCCAAGCCAGGCTCAGTTTGTGTAGCAAACCCTCCTCTCACTCCATCGGTGTAGGAGCCCTGGAGTCTGCGTCTGACGTGGAAGCTGGGTGCAGTCATTGCATGTCCGCTGTGTTCCTGGTGAGCCCGGCCAGCCCAGGAAGGCGGTGGGGGAGCACACGCCCAGACCCGGCACTGCCCACCAAGGGACCAGACAGGCAGCGTTGCAGTGTGACATCTGGCAAGGAGCAGGGGAAAGAGGAAGCCCAGGGAAGTGTTGGGGACTGTCATCTCCCCTTTCTCATAGGCAAAAGCTTAGATGAAAAGGACTTGCTCGGGCCTTAGCTGTTCATATAGCTCCCAGATGTCTAGGCTTTCAGTAGCATTTACTCAGAACTCGGGCTGTGCTGCATCACAGTAATCAGAGTGAGGAAGAGCTCCTGCTCTTTCTTGAAGGGAGACCCAAACTTTTCAGACAAACAGCCTCCCTCGGTCACCACAGCCACAATTGCAGGGAAGCTCTCCCCTCTGGCAGCTTCTCCCTTTGTAGCATCTAATTTATGCTGACCAAGGATCTTTCCTCAGGCTATACAGAGCTGTCATTTTGGGGGAGGTTCATTATTTTATATATTATTAATTTATTTCCTTCATGTTCCCAGATTAAATAGCACAGCTGAGCAAAACAGAAACATGTTCCTTCACTCCCAGACTGGCAGATGTACACTGCTAACTCTGGCAGTGACATCTGGTTTCAGGTTTGCCTGCCCTGGCTTGTGTGGAACAGTTTGTGATGGAATGAGACCACTACCACAACAGCTGGGGAGGAAAGACCCTGCCTGGGAGTATATGAAAATGATATCTTTTTTTTTTCTCTTTTTTTTTTAATGTTATGTATGTGAGTTTATAATTCAGTAGTAGCATGACTCACTTTTTTCCTGAAGATGGTAGGAGGAATGTGTCAGCTTCATTACTGTTCCTGGGCTTTTCCAGAAGGCAAATTACTTTTTAATCATTGCAGTTAAACATGGCCTTCAGTGCGGGCTTTGGGACTGACACTGACCTGCAGTTGGAGGCACAAGGAATAGATTCAGGCCTCGCTGTCTTGGGCTGCAGTACCGGGTGTCGCCAGCCAGCAGCCTGGACTGCCTGCTCTGAGCAGTCCATGGCTGTCAGTGACACTGTCCCCCAACCCTCGGTCTCTCCTTAGTTGGATATTGCTGCTCTGACAACCGTGTTTTCCTCGCTCTGCATCCCAGTCCAGAGAACGGTTCCCACAGCGGGGTTTTGACACGGCAGGAGGAGGCTGTGGTTCTCCAGTAGGCACGTCCAGGCCCACAGATAAACATCTCTTTAGACATTTGCTTTATTTTGTGTTTATTAGATTGCACTGACACATACCACCCCTGCATGTTCAGCTAAGAGATGGAGAGGCTTGCTAAAGCTCTGAACATAGCCAAGCATGTGGCTATGTTTTATTTTCCCCTGGTACTGGGAACTCTTGATACCTATTGCAAAAATTGTATTGATATTTAAATAATGATGGATACATTCTAAATAAAAATGTTTGCATTAGTCCCTTCTAAAAATGGCATTGTGTGAACCAAAGAAAATGCATGGAGATGTAATTCACTGGCCAAGGTTACTCTAAAAATTAATTTTACAAATGGCTTCACTCAGAGGTTGTTTGAATTCTGGAAAGAGGCAACAGCCATTATATCCTTCAGATACCCTCAGCACTGAGTCTGGGGGCTGCTGACCTTCTTGGGGTCCATGCTGGGCCTGCCAGTGAGCTCAGGGACCACCCATCCTCACCGAGGGGCTGTGGTGAGCATGAGACCCCTCTGAGAGCCTTGGAGGGGGGATGTAAAGGAGCACCTCCTCCCTGCAGTGTTTTCCCCCCCAAAGCTCCAGCAGGAACACATTTTAGCTCAGAGCTCAGCCTGTCCCTGCGCCCAAACCCTGCCTGTGCAGAGCTGCTGCCTGAAGGCAGCATGGCTGGGGGCGAGCAGGGCTGGCTCTTGCCCAGCCCCTGCAGCACCACGGCTGCTACTGGAGCCTGAGCAGGACTCTGCCAGCCGAAGCCGAGGCAGCACCTGGGCAGGAGGGCTGGGGGTGCCCGTGCCATGCTGGCGCTGGGGACTTTCCTCTGGACCAGCCTCCTGGGGTGTTATTTTCATTCCCTTTTCAGATTCCTGAGAAACCACCACATCTGTTGCAGCAGAGGCTCTCAGAGGCCTTTTGTCTTGCCAGGGCTTCTGGGCACAAGTTTTGGGAGTGCGCTGTTGAGGGTAAGGAAACGCTGCACCTTCAGTGCAAAGAGACAAAATGAGGAGTCCATGGAGCCAGTAGCAGAGTTACATGTTTATGTGTGGATTACTGAATGGTACATGAATGTAGGTTAACACAACCAGTTCCTCAGTGCACACCAGTGCCCCATGTCTTCCCCACATGAAGATCTCTAGTGGAAATCACATGGAGAACATCAGACTGAAAAACTGCTGCTGACAGGTGTGAGGAGCTGATCCCTGCTCCCGACCTTGCTCCAGCCCTTGGCCACAGTGCTTGGCACCCTCCAGGGAGTGACCGAGGACTGGGGAGGAGCCTGGGTGAGCCCTGGGACACCCTCAGATCCCTGTGGGCAACTCCTGCTGCTGCCTCGCAGGCTTTGGCAGTCCCCAGGGCTGGGACCAGGCAGCACTGTCAGCATGCCAGGGTAGAGCTGGGTGATTCACACGGTGGCCGGTGAGGTGCAAGGGTCCAGGTCACTGAAGTATCCACAAAACACACAGAAAACAATCCCCCAGCATCAGTCCGAGGGATGCAGCTGCAAGGAGCTCTTCTCCACCTGTCCCCATGGTGGGGAGCAGGCACTGGGGAGGCACGGAGGCAGCGCCTGGTGCCCAAGGACCCTGGCTGCAGCATGGGGTTGCCTTGCCCCACGGCAGGGCTTGGGGTCCCTCAGAGGGCATGAGACCTGCCACCTGTGCCAGCTCAGGCAATAGGACATGCTGGGGCTGTGGGCACCCAGTGGTCACAAGCACAGGGTGATTTCAGAGGAGGTTTTGGAAGTTGCACCTTTGTGTCCACTTGGGTGGATGGCCAAGGTTTGCCTCAGCGGGGTCTGGGACTGCACTAGACCCACGCACTCTTCTCTGTGACGGACCTCAAGCACAATATTCAGAAACTCTCCTTTTTGACTCACTGAGGATCCAGATGCCCATGTTAGGAGTATGTATATGTGTGTGTGTGTCTATACTTATATAGGACTATATGGATACAGATGTACAATGTTGTGTGTATAGTGCTCATACATATAACACATTTCATGAGAGCGAGAATGATAAATACATGAAGTATTTCCTACCAGAAATATGATGGTTGGTATCAACCTAACAGTAAATACCTCTGGGCCTGTGGAAAGCTTGGCCATGGGGTGGGTACAGGCATTGCCGCCTTTCTGGGGCCAAACGAGCCTTCTACACAAACACAACTTCCCAAGAGCTCCAGAACACTTCAGGGGCCACATTTATGGCCACCTAATAGTCCACTAGCACCTGTTCAATCATCCCTGAAGTAGGCTTCTGATATTTTAGCTGAAATTGAGCTGGGGAGGGGTTTCCACTAGAGCTGTTTCATCTCTCCTGAATCCAGCCTCCACCTTTCTCTTCGGCACATACATACCCAAACACCTTCTCCCTGGCCCACACATCACTGTTGCAGCTCGTGACATCTCATGTTTTGTTGGTGCATAGCAAGCCAGCCTCCAGCAGCATCCCAACCTCTATGGCATCGGTGTTGGCATTTAACTGCAAAATGTCAGGGTATCTGGAAGTAGCTGCCAAAGGATTAAGTAAAAATGAAAGATCTAGGTCTTTCTGCAGGGAAGCCTGTTTGGTTTTGCATTTCTATGAGTCACGCTGTAAATAGGGAGCTTGAACATGCTGAACCCACTTGTACTGACACCAGTTCACAGAGACGTTCTGAGGGTGCGGGGAGTGCCTGTGGGCAGAGGTGGTGGGAGCACCCGCAGCAGAAGGGCTGGCCAAGCCCCTGCTCCTGCTCCTGCACCGAGCCCTGCCCCTGCTCCCCCTTGTCACCCACCAGCTCTGGGCAGCAGGTGCTGCCAGGGGGATCCTGCATCCTTTCGATGGGACCCTCCTGCTGCTCGTGGGCTCCCCTGTGGCAATTTGGGGTGGCCCAAGCCTCCCCCTGTGCTCACCCCAGGGGAATGCCTTGCGAGCATCCTGTCCTGTCATACCAGCACCAACTTTCCCAGGCCATTTGCTCCAGAGGAAAAAAAAAAAAAAAGGCATGTTTGTGATGGCCTCCATCCTTCCCCTGCCTCCCCATCCCTGCCTGCAGAACACAGCCCACTTCCTGCAGCTCGGGATGTATGTTTCTTCATCGCCATAGTGACGACGTGTAAATATTTGGGGCTGGTGGGGTTTTGATCAGATTTTGAAAGTCTTTAAGAGGCTGGCAAACCTGTTGTTTATGTTACTGCATTTCAGATGGAGTCTCGTGACTTGCAGTTGAGGTTGAGCAGCCTGAGGGAGGACGGCAGGTCCCAGATGCCTGCTGGGAGCACGGTCACTCGCCATGTTGCCCACACGTGTTGGGTGGCTGGATGGGCAGGTTGATCCCCACAGCATGCTCGTTGCAAGCCATGGCCCTGTGTACACTGCACTGGGAAACCATCACAGGGACAAAACGGAGCTGGGGTTCATCACATTAGCCTGGAGGCTGAAATGACACGCTAGACGCCTTTCACGTACACACTGGCCCATCCTCAGATGGGATTTCTTCTGCTAGCGAACAGTGGGCTGGCTTTGAATCATTAGAAAAGAGCTGGTCTTGTCAAGAGACAGCCTTATGGAAACACATCCTGGGCAGATGGGAGGAGACAGGAGAGAGATACAGGCTACACAAACTCAGCAGAGTTTGCCGTCTGTTCAAGAAGACAGGGGTTTATTTTTTGTATTTCCAACTATAGTTTTGTCTTTGGGTTTGGGTTTTGGGTTGTTTTTTTCTTTAATTAGATGTGAACCATTGCAATTAGCAGCTTTTTCTCCCCAGCTTGATTTTCCTCCCTCCTCTAATCGATGCCCCTCGGTTGGGTTTGTGCAGAAGTATCACTTTGGCGTGCCTACTGCAGAGAGAAGCAACTGGAGCAAGAAACGGCTGCGGCGAGACCTGAAGTTGCAGTCCAAGCACGGGGCCGGCCACCAGCAAGGCTTGGGGCTGCGCGGAGGCACTGGGGACACGGGCACAGACTGCAGACTGCGAGCTCAGTACGTCATGCAAGTGGTTGGAGCGAGCGGGAGGTCTGGGTTGCTAAACAGTCCCGGTGTTTTGAACAAATAGATCTCGTTTTATCCTCTTTACTGTCTTCGGTGTGCAGCAAACGGGCTGTCTCACGGCTGACTGCGAGTGTAGTCCCTGGGGAAGCGGTGCTGCAGGTTGGCTCTGCCAGCCCTCCTGCCAGCCAGCTGCACCCT